CTTAGCGGCGGCGGCTCCGTTACCTCCCCGATGGCGCGGAGGGCCGAGCCCCCCGACGGGGGCTGGGGATGGATGGTGGTGCTCTCGGCGTTCTTCCAGTCAGCGCTGGTGTTCGGGGTGCTCCGCTCCTTCAGCGTCTTCTTCGTGGAGTTCGTGGCGGCGTTTGACGAGCAGGCGGCGCGGGTCTCCTGGATCGCCTCCATAGGGATCGCTGTGCAACAGTTTGGGAGTGAGTGCTGCGCTTGGGTCGGGTGTCCTAGGACCCTCGGGAGGGGGAGGGGATGCGGGGACAGCAAAGGGGGAGGGCGAAGACGGAGGGGATGCTGGAGTAGGACGCCTGAGGACTTCTCACAGAACTCCTTCCTCTTCCCCAGGCCCCGTAGGCAGTGCCCTGAGCACGAAATTCGGGCCAAGGCCCGTGGTGATGGCTGGGGGCATCTTGGCAGCGCTGGGCATGCTGCTCGCCTCCTTTGCTACCTCCTTGACCCACCTGTACCTGAGTATTGGGCTGCTGTCAGGTGAGACTCTGGGCAGGGTCAGGAAAGTCAAATGCCTGAGTCTTCGGCCTCTAGACTATCACCTTCCTCCTGATCCTTCCAGAAGACTTTGGGAGAAGCTGAAAGTTTTGAGTAGCACCTGTGCCCCAAAGGGAATTAAGAGTGATGACAACATTAATAAAATTGGTGGGGCAATTAGGACATTCAGAGATAATGAGACCAGACTGTGCGAACCCAGGGCTAGTGGGACTGGAGTGTAAAAGGAAGAGTCACATACTACAAAGCTGTGTCAGGCGCTGTGGCTGTGAAATAGATATCTACCCTATTTGCAGATGAAGCAAGGCTCTAGGAGCTTAGGGAACATGGCATATGAAGATCACACGGCCAGAAATGGTAGAGCCCAGGTGCAACTCCAAAATTCTGTGATAGTTACTTTAAAAACATTATCTCTAAGCCCCTACGGTCCCATAAAGTATATTACCCCCCCATTTTACAGATGAAGAGATTGAGATTGGGAGATTTAAGTAAAGTCATACAGCTAGAAAGTATCAAAGTATCAAGCTAGGATTGGAATCAGACTTGTGCTACATTCTGCTGCTGGGCAGTATTGGGATTACTGGGTGCCATGAGCTCCCTAGGAGTCCCCCAACCACAATTTCTTTGTCTCTTTCTTCTTTCTTTTTTTTTTTTTTTTGACAGGCTCTGGGTGGGCCTTGACCTTCACTCCAACACTGGCCTGCCTGGCTCGTTACTTTTCTCGCCTGAGATCCCTGGCCATGGGGCTGGCACTGACTGGTGTGGGCCTCTCCTCCTTCGCCTTTGCCCCACTCTTCCAATGGCTGCTCAGCCACTATGCCTGGCGGGGCACCCTACTCCTGGTGTCTGCCATCTCCCTCCACCTGGTGGCCTGTGGTGCTCTCCTCCGCCCACTCTCCCTGACTGAGGACCCTGCCATGGGTGGCCCTGGGGCCCAACTTGCCTCCCTCCTCCATCATGGCCACTTCCTCCGTTACACTGTTGCCCTCACCCTGATCAACACTGGCTACTTCATTCCCTATATGCACCTGGTGGCCCATCTCCAGGACCTGGATTGGGATCCACTGCCCGCTGCCTTCCTACTCTCGGTGATTGCTATTTCTGACCTCGTGGGGCGTGTGGTTTCTGGGTGGCTAGGGGATGCAATCCCAGGGCCTGTGGCACGACTCCTGATGCTCTGGACCACTCTGACTGGGGTGTCACTGATCCTGTTCCCCGTGGCTCAGGCTCCCACAGCCCTGGTGGCTCTGGCCGTGGCCTATGGCTTTACATCAGGGGCCCTGACCCCAGTGGCCTTCTCCATGTTGCCTGAACTGGTGGGGACTGGAAGGATATACTGTGGCCTGGGACTGGTGCAGATGGTAGAAAGCATCGGGGGACTGCTGGGGGCTCCTCTGTCAGGTAAGAGGAATGAGGTTTCCAGGTGGCCAGAGATGCCATGTCATACCATTTGGGGAGGGAACTATTCATGTTATAGTGGACGTAAACGTTGCCCTCTGTTATGGTATACTACGTGGCCTGGTATACTACATGGCCTGTATAACCAATCATTGCAATGCCGAAGTGGGTCCATGGGGCAGAGAAATTGGGGCTGAGGAAAAACTAAAATAAGCTATGTGGAACCCTTGATAGGATACCTGTAGCTTGGATTTTCACACTTGGCCAGACCTGGCCAGACATAACATGCCCTTTCCCTTGGCCCATTTAGCCTCAGTTCAGATGTCTGAGACATGTGGTCAAAATCATGCAGCCTCCAGATGCCAGAACCTTCAGATCCTTAACGTTTTCCTCTTAACTATTAACTGAAGGTATGGATGGCAGGGCCACAGCTGCCAGAAAGAAAGGCACAGGTGTGCCTGACTCGATCTGCATCCCCAAATCCCCACTGGCTGATTTGGAGGTCCTTTCTGAAGGGAGGAAAGTCATTGACATTACCTTTTGAAACCCCTTGGGAAACCAGAGTTCTCAAGCTCATCCAGTCCCACCTTGGGAGTTCTAACTTTTCCAAGATGGTGGGTTAGAGATTGTTTTCTTCCCTCCACCCAAAAATATGTCTGAGCCATCAGTCCCAGGAAACAGATCGCCCATGTGTCTTCTTTTTCTCTCTTGGACATAGGCTACCTCCGGGATGTGACAGGCAACTACACAGCTTCTTTTGTGGTGGCTGGAGCCTTCCTTCTTGCAGGGAGTGGAGTTCTCATCACTCTGCCCCACTTCTTCTGCTTCTCAGCTCCTGCCCCCAAACCCCAGGACCTTGTTACAGAGGCACTGCATACCAAAGTCTCCCTGCCCAAGGAAGGGCTGGGAGAGGACTGAACTCCAAAAAGACCTAGAAAGCCATAGATTGGCAGCTCCAGGTCTTCTCCTCCTGCCCCATATTGATGCCCAGAGAACCACAGTGCCTTAAGCATCTTGATTTGTCTTCCACCCCAGCAGGCCCGGGCTCCTTCGATGTGTGTGCCAACCCTTTGTATTTTGTTGAGGAATCCTACCTCTTCTTTGCTTCCACAACCTTTTCTGCAGAATCCAAGAGTTTAGCCTGCTCCACTGAGCTGTGAATCAACTGTGAAAATCAAAGGCCAAGAGACTGATTATGTTTTACAAGTGATCTCTAGTGTTGCCTACTAAGTTTCTTCCCTGAAGACAGATGTTTGGGGAAGAGGGATGCCTCTTTGAGATAAACTGAATAAGAAAACTGGATAATAGTCAGAACCTCAGAAAGAACTGGAGCCCATATGCTTGGGTTGGTTGAATGGGGTCATGGCTGTGGGGTAGAGGGGAGGCATCCGGGAGCTCTGGTGACTCAGAGCGTTTTTACCCTGGACTCAGCTCTCTGGACCACATTTCCCCCCACTTGCCCACTAACCTCCCTCTATCCCTGTGACTTAGAAAAGAAATTAAGAGAATGGTGGGGACACGGTGGGGAGGAGGGTATAATTTGGTAGGGGGAGCTGAAGCTGAGAGAGCTAAGTCTGGGTCTAGGATTCTTGTATTTCCCTCAGGCCAGTAGAAGGAGAGCTTTGAGTAAAAGGAAGGGTAGATAGCACCCACGAGCCTCCCTCTCCCCCAAACAAACTGAAGCTGACAGGCAGACAACTTCTCAAAGATTCCCTGTTACAATGGTAACATCTTGGGCAAAGAGAAATGGACTGGCCAGACAGACAGCTACCCCTCCCCTCACCTGGAGCTTAATGGGATCCTGTTCCTTTCAAGCAGCCTTTTGAATATCTTAAGTAGAAAGTTTTCAGTGTCCTAGATTGGCCAACAATTGGAACTTGCAGGAAAACTGGAAATTTTTATTGAGGGAGGGGCTCAAACCAAAAGAAAATGGTCAACAGGTGGTGTCCAAAGTGGAGTGAGGGCCTCCTGGGGACAGCAGGGCAACCTGAGGAACTGGGAGCAGCTCCCCGCTCTCGGGGGGAGGAGTGGCTGGAGGGGAAGCTGGGCTGCAGGAGGGCAGCGCCCCCGGCAGCCCCAAGTAGACCAAGCTGCCTGAGAGGACCAACGAGCCGCACGCGACGAAGGAGGCGGTGAAGTCTCCGGTCTCATCCCTTAGGAAGCCTGAGGGGAAGGGGAAAGGAATTTAGGGGCCTCGGACCCAGGGGCAGAGGGAGGTGGCTAGCGGCTCTGCTGGATCAGGCCCTCACCTGACAGCGGAGGGCCCAGAAGCCCCCCGAGGCTCATCAGCATCATCACCAGACCCGTGGCCTGTACAACACCTGCGATGCCCACCAGCCCGGGGAGCACTCCGAAAACCAGCGGGGCGTAGCTGCCGGCGCTCAGCCCGTAGGCCCCCGCCGCAGCCAGCAGGGAGCCCCCCCAGCCCTCCTCTCTCCCCACCCCCGGCACCAGCCCTACGGCCAGCAGCGCCAGCCCTGTGAGAGCCCCGGACACCGCCAGCAGCCGCGGGAGGGGCACCCAGCCCTGGTCCGCCAACCACCCGCAGACCAGCCGGGCGCCCGCATCCGCCACCGCCGCCGCCGCCACCACCAGCGCTGCCCTATAGCCGCCCAGGCCCAGGTCTAAAGCGTGAGGGGCCAAATGCACGTAGGGGACGAAGTACCCGCCCCCAACCAGAGCCGTGCCCAGAGCAAACACTGAGAAGGCCCTGCGTGTGAAGAGACCCAGGCCGAGGGCAGCTAGGGGCCCACTGGGTGGGACCGAAGGGTCACCAGGGAGCTCCAGGGGTCGCAGCAGGGCGCCACAGGGGGCGAGGTGGAGGGTAATGGCACCAAGAAGGAGCAGGGCCCCCCGCCAGCCGAAAGTATCCAGGAGGAGCTGCAAGGCAGGCGCCAGGAGCAGCGAGGAGGCCCCGTTGCCGGTGAGTGCCAGCCCCACGGCCAGGACTCGACGGCGGGAGAAGTAACGAGAGAGGGTGCCGAGGGCGGGGGCAAACGCCAGGGCCCAGCCGGAGCCTGCGAGAGCGCAAGGCCGGGTGAGACAGCTACCTGGGGGCCTGGCCTAGCCATCCCAGCCCTGCTCTTCGGAGGACGCCCCCCACGCCCCTGCACTGTTGGCCTCCAGCCCCCAACAAGCTCCTGTCTCCAGCATCACCCCTTAAGGACCGAATCGTCTCCCCTCACCAGCAAGGACCCCCAGGCCAAGGTAGAGGTGCAGCAGACTGCCGGCGAAAGCCGAGAAGACGAAACCCAGCGAGGTGAGGAGGCCTCCAGTCATCACGACGGGACGCGCCCCCCAGCGGGTGCTCAGGGCGCTGCCCACCGGGCCTGGAAGGAGGCGGGGCCCATGGAAGACACGCCCCTCAACTCGCTCAAATACTTCTCATTGGCTGCCTGGCCTAAAACTCTTCCCCCAGCCTAACAGCTCCTCCTCTTAGCCTCAAATCACTCTTTTCTAGAACTTGGTGCCGCCCGTCGTCCTTTCTCAGGTTATCTGGTAACCAGGTGGGTCCTCCACCGCTACACTCACGGCCCCTGCACCCCGGTTCATGCCCCCCACCTCGTGGGGGGGGCTCACTGGCTGCCTGCTGCACAGCCAGGGCCAGGGAGCTGACCCACGCTGTGTCCTGAGAGGCTCGGTCGAAGTGCTCGGCGATATCAGGGAGGGCGAGGCCCAGGGACCGTAACAGCCCGTAGGAGAGCCCGTTCACCACGAAGGCTGCGGCTGCCACCACCCAGCCCCAGCCCCCATCCGGGGTTCTGGCAGGCTTGGGGGTCATCACCGTCTGGGGGAGAAAGGAACACCTGTGAGTGATGCCTCCACGTCCGTCCCTGCTCTAGGGACCTGAGATCCAGCGGCTGGCTGCTTTCCCAGGGAGGGCGTGTCACCCCAGCACCTTAGGGCGGCGGCGGAGGGAGCGGGAGTCGGGCCTGGGGATGGAACTCCCGGGCCGGCGAGAGTTACCTGTTAGATACTGGGACTGGGTGACAGGGGGCGCTCCTGGCCTGGAACTCCCCCTGCCCCGCTGACCCCCTCCCCCTTACCCTTTACCCGACCTCTCAGGGCGAGGAATGGCTCGGCCTGATTTCTCCCAGCTTCTTAGGCGGGTGGATGGCGGGGGTGCAGAGGGGAGCGAGTGCAGAGATGGAGCCCCACCTGGACCGGCTCTCTCTGTAAACAGAGATCACTGCGGGGCCTGAGCCACCTGGGACGCGGTGGTGGGGAGGGCGGGGGCCAGCGGAGGCAGCCAATCAGCGGAGCCCAGCCGAGGGGAGGGTGAGGCCAGGCACGGAGTCCCACGGGGATTAGGTTATACACACGCGCGCACACACACGCACACACACACACACACACACACCCTGAAAAGGGAGCAGCCTGGAATGAATGCCACAGGCGCCCGCCCACCGCCCGGCACCTGCTGCCTGCTGCTCACCGAAGGGACAGGTGGACCGACTGCAATCCCCAGCAAGCCCAAGGTCGGTAGCAAACCACTGAAACAGGGATGGTTCCCCCAAGGTCTGAGGGGATGAGTAGTTTTATTTTCAGAAAATGTTGCTGGAAGACCAGGAAAATCTTGGCTATCAAATCCCAGATCTCCACTGAATGCTTGTTGTGTGCTCAACAATAATTTGCCCTCAAGGACTTAGGGGAAGGAAGAGGGACTCCCTTATGCTGAGGAGCTGTGATGTGCCAGGCACTCTTCACACATGTCGTCTTTTCATCCTCACAATAACCCTGGGAAGACGGTGTCATCCTCATTTTACAGATAAAGTAATTGAAGCTTCCAGAGATTAGGTGACTTGCCCAACCACCCAGTTAAAAGATGGTGGAAACATGTATTTGAATTTTGGGTTTGTACAACTGTGGGACCCATACAAGGAGAACAGACCTAGGACTGAAATAGGATCTGTCATAGTGAAGGGAAATGGCCTGGAGACAGTTTGATGCCAAACTGACCTGGAAATGCAGAGTCTTTTCAGGGCCAGAGAATTTATGATTCTAAGATAGGGGCACTGGGAGAACACAAAGGATATTTGCAATCAAAACTACTAAAGATTTAGAGATTGGAATTTTAAATACAAAGTAAGAAATCCAAGAACTGAACCCAGGTATTGATGTTTTAATTAAATTTTTAAAATTTATTTATTGAGTTTAGAGAGGGGGGGATGGGGAGAAACATTGACTTGTTGCTCCACTTATTTATGCATTTATTGGCTGATTCTTGTCTGTGCCCTGTCCGGGGATGGAACCTGCAACCTTCGTGTATCTAGACGATGTTCTAACCAACTGAGCACCTGGCCAGGGCTTAGGTATTGATTTCTCAAAAAAACTTTATTAAAAGTATCATTTAAAAATTATTTATTTATATGTAATTAGCTTACCTTTAATGTAACTTGGGCAATTCTAAGCAATGTATAGATTTTTTTAATTTAATCAAAAGTATATATATATTTTTTTTTACATTCAATATTATTATGTATTAGTTTCAGGTGTACAGCATAGTGGTTAGACAATCATATGCTTTTTAAAGATTTTTAGAATTGATTTTAGAGAGAGAGAGGAAGGAAGAGAGAGGGAGAAAGAGAAATATGAGTTTGTTGTTCCACTTACTTATGCATTCATTGGTTACTTCTTGTATGTGCCCTGATCAAACCTGCCAACTTGGCATATTGGGACAACACTCTAAACAACTGAGCTACCAGCCCGGCCAGGTGTGGCTCAGCGGTTGAGTATCGACCTAGGATCCAGGCGATAGGGGTTTGATTGCCAGTCAGGCCACATGCCCGGTTGTGGGCTTGATCAATGACTCTCTCATCATTGATGTTTCTGTCTCTCTCTCTGTCCCTCTCCTTTCCTCTCTCTGAAATCAATAAAGATATATTTTTAAAAAAAAACAAAAAACTGAGCTACCAGGCTAGGGCAAAAATCATATACTTTACTAAGTGTTCCCCCTGATACTTTCAGTACCCCCTTGGCACCGTGCATAGTACAATATTACTGACTATACTCCCTGTGCTGTACTTTACACCCCCGTGACTATTCTGTAACCACCAATCTGTACTTCTCAATCCCTCCACCTTTTTCACCCAACTCCCAAGCCCCCTCCTCTCTGGCAATCATCAGTCTGTTTTCTGTACCTATTAGTCTGTTTCTGTTTAGTTTGTTTATATTATTCTTTAGATTTCACATATAAGTGAAATCATATGGTATTTGTCTTTCTCTAATTAACTCATTTCACTTAGCATAATACCCTCTAGGTCCATGCATGCTCTTGTAAATGGTAAGATTTCATTCTTTTTTATGGCTGAGTAATATTCCATTGTATATATGCACGGCAGCCTTTTTTTTTTAATTGAATTTATTGAGATGACATTGGTTCACAAAACCATATAGGTTTCAAGTGTACAACTCAACATTGTGTGCCCATCACCCAAAGCAAAGTCTCTTTCCATTCCCTTTTATCCGCCCATTGCCCACCTCCACCTACTCCCACCCGCCTTTCCCCCTGGCTATCACAACACTGTTGTGTGTGTGTGTGTGTGTGTGTTTGCTTAATCCCTTCGCCTTCTTTCACCAAACCCCCCAAATGCCCACCCTTCTGACAGCTGTCAGTCTGTTCCATGTATCTATGCCTCTGTTTCTATTTTGTTCGTCAGTTTATTTTGTTCATTAGATTAGACATATAAGTGAGATCATACTGAATTTGTCTTTCTCTGAGTTGCTTATTTCACTCATCAGAATAATCTTTAGGTCCATCCATGCTGTCACAGAAGGTAAGACTAAAAGAAGGAAATTTACATTCACTCATTTACATTTACATTTATTCCATTGCATAAATGTACCACAGGTTTTTTATCCACTCATCTACTAATGGGCACTTGGTCTGTTTCCAGATCTTGACGGATGGAAGGTTATTGTAAATAATGCTGCAATGAACATAGGGGTACGTATATTCTTTCAAATTAATGTTCTTGGATTTCTTTGGATATACTCCCAGAAGTGGGATTGCTGAGTCAAAAGGCATTTCCATATTTAATTTTTTGAGGAACCCTCTTACTGTTTTCCACTTTGGCTGCACCAGTCTGCATCCCACCAACAGTGCACGGCGGCTCCCTTTTCTCCACACCCTCACCAACGCTTGTCATTTGTTGAGTTATTGATGGCAGCCATTCTGACAGGGGTGAGGTGATACCTCATTGTGGCTTTAATCTGTATTTCTGTGATAATTAGTGATGTTGAGCATCTTTTCCATTTGCTCTATGTAATTTATGTCTCTTGGCCATCTGCGTGTCCTCTTTGGAGAAGTGTCTATTCAGGTCCTCTGCCCAGTTTTTAATTGTATTATCTGTTTTCTTGGTGTTGATTTGTATGAGTTCTTTATAAATTTTGGATATCAGCCCCTTATCAGATGTACCATGGGGGATATGTTCTCCATTCAGTAGGTTGTCTTTTTGTTTGTTGATGGTTTCCTTTGCTGTGCAAAAACTTTTCAGTAAAAATATCCTTTTCACATCAGAATTAAGGTCACCATTGCTTTACTTCAGCTATTTGAATCAAGAGACGTGTTCTTTGGTTTCATTATTAAACAATATCAGAAAATTCGGCAAATTACCATTTGAACATGCATCACCCAAAAGCCACATGATGGCAGTGTTTCCTAATTGTTGAGAAGTATCTGCAACTAAGGAAAAAAACCCAGTTTCTTAAGTAGAGAAACTATAAACCTAACAGATACAGCATGACCTTTGATGGCTCTCCACTGCCTATAGGAGGAAAAGAAATCAGATTTCCCTACTTTGGGTATAAGGCCTTTCACAACCAAAAGTGGACCCAGAATACTTTCCCGTTCCATTCCCCCCTCCTCACACACCCTCCATCAGCCCCAGTGCTCCCCGTCTCTGTGGCACGCGTGTCTTTTTCTCAGTCCTGAATGTTTACATATGTCATGCCCTCTGCTGCTCCTGGGTGGGGTACCGGAGTCCCTGAAGGGTTAAGGTCCTGCCAAATGCACTTGAGAAAAAAGTGGTCTCACTGGTTTTCCCAGCCTGGGTTGCTGCTGTGAAAGGCCCCTGGGGGTGAAGTCAGCAGAGCCTCAGCCACCCAGGAGGGCAGGGAGCCCACTTCCTAGATGGGGGGGAGGATTCTGTTCCAGGCTGAATGCAGTCAACTGAAACCAGCCTCTCCCTCTCCGTGGGGAAGTGAAAAGGAGACTGGGCCTTCTGGGTCTAGGAGCTCTACAGTTATGTTGAGCACACTTAAAGGATACTTACAAACCCAGCAGGTGTCCCAGAGCCTGGCACTGGGGTGATTGGTTGTGAAAGGGCACAATCCTCTTCTACCTCACGTTCCCTACATTCTTAGCTGAAATTACCATCACTATACATCTTTTGCTCATTGAGGTAATATAGCATTGAGGTTGGGAGAATAGATTCCCCAGCTAGACTTCTTTAGTTTGAATCTCATCTCAGCCACTTATTAGTTACTCGATCTCTCTGTGCCTCAGTTTTCTCATCTCTAAAATGGGGATAATAATAGTAGCTACATGATAGGGTTTTGATGAGGATTAAATGAGTCACTGTGTATACATGTATTAACAAGGAACATAAAATGGTCCCCGGAACATGGCACATGTCAGCCCCTATTGCTGCTATTGTGACCGGAGGAACCTGACCAGACGCTGCAAACACCACTGTGCTTTTGCCACCTGGCTGTATCTTAATGCCTGAAGGTCTAAGCAACTCATAGGTCTGGTGAGATCTCAGTAGAACTACACCAGTTATGTCAATGGCTACAGAAAGGGGTTAAGTGGAAGTAGGTTTTTTTCCTATGTGGTGAGTGGTTTTCTTAGCATTTTTCAAGGTTTATAAGAAAATGCTGGTCTCCCTATGTTGACTCTACAAATAAAAGAGAAGAAAGGAGTTGAAGTAAGTTTTGTTCAATCATCCCTTCATACAAAATGTTTATAGATACCTACCATGCCAGATACTATGCTTAGGGCTAAGGATACAAATATGAATGATGCAGTCTCTCCC